AAGTATTTACATGAGACAGTCTCACATCTGCCGTATGTTGTTATTTTCAGGAGACCCTGGTCTACTCAGATATGCCATTGTTTGCCATTGTTTGACAGAAATTTCATATGCCTGTGAGTGCAAGTTATGATATGATTTCACAGTGTTCAATACGGTTCCATTAATTGTTAGCTGCATTAGCCTCGTAGCGCCAGAAGCAAACTTCATACACCAAACTTGTACAGCCTGCTTGCCTAGCCACTGAGTTATAGGCTAATAAATACTACCAAGCTAATATTAGTGTAACTCCTACCTCAGTCATTAAACAAAGTCATTCAGGAAGAACAATTCTATCTGTATTCAGTGCAAAATGGACACCAGAGATGAGGTTTTACTCTTTCTTTACTATTCTTTCTTGTAAGATATCTACATAGTCACCTACCTTGCTAACTTTAGCTTGTAGCTTTAGCATTATCTCCATTTAATTTAAGATTATTTTACCTATTTCTAGACTTTTTTTACTAGCTTTAAGTATTTTTATGAAGTAAAATTATCTCACCATATTGGCAGATAATTTAGCTTGTTTTAAGAAATGTGCTTGAAACCAGCCAAATTATCCACTATAATGAGATCAATTTACTTGATAAAATCACCTAAAATAAGTAAATAATGTACAGAAATAAGGTAACTAATCTTATAAGTGCATAACCGCCTCAAAATGGGAAATATTAAATATATGGACTATATTTAAGATCATTTTGCTTGACAAGATATCCATTTTTGCAGTGTAATGTTAGGTATCTGCCTGCTGCATTCGCCAGCTAAGAAAAAAAAATCCAAACAGCCCCCAAAAATCCCCTCAAAGTAATTATAGTTTTTCAAAACTGTCTCCCAGCTTCAAGATACATCATCAGAAGGGGGTTTTATGAGTCTTTGAACTGGAAAAGCTCAATCTAGAGCAGAGGTCACTGATCCGCGGTCCGAGTCCAGACCCAGACGCTGTCCTATGTAGACCTGGAACTATAACTGATAAACTATGGAGAATTATTTAACTTCGATGGGGTGGTCCTATTTTAATCTGCGTAGGTTTTCTAGCCTTTATGGCACCGCCTTAGCGGCCTGGGAAACTCATAGACCAATCACATGCATTGTAAATATCAACGTGACGCTACTCAGCCAATCAGATCTTTGCATTACGATGAGCACTGAGACTTGAGTGAGTGATGCACACACAGGGGAGGGACGAGGCGAGACACAGCAGTCAGAGAAGAAAGTGAGTCAGATTATTTTACATGACTCTAAAAAGAGAAAACTGACAGTAAATATTGTTGAAATATGACTGAATTGTACTTTATTTGATTTGACATTCAGTTGTCGACTGTATAAGATGTTGATATAACTACTAGGCTACTTCAGTAAACAGTATATGGCACTGAATCATGATGCAGGTTGGACATTATGATGTTCTGGACCTTTGCTTGAGGAAATTTTCTCTAACTGGACCTTATTGAATTTTAATTAAAGACCCCTGATATAGAGACACTGCAGCACGTGAGATGGTTCCATGTTTCACTTTAGCTGAAGTGCCCCTTTAAGATCTGTAAACAGCAACGATGTGATCAGTACAGTGCTGTTTACAGCTGTGATGTTCAAAATTATACGTGGGGAAGGACTGGATGTCATGATAATACTGAGTTTAACTGTGAGGAGATGAGATAGAGAAAGAGAGAGAGCGAGAGAGGATGAAGGAGATTTGATGTTGTTTCAATCATTAATGTGAAACAGAAGAATGAAACAAAGGAGGTTTGTGCAGCGTGTAATAAAACTCCAGGCGGTCAGACTCCTGCTGAGTTTCACTACAGTCACTGCATTGTTTTATTCAGTCTGAAAGGGAGCTAACTTGTTGGCATTTTTTCTCTCGGTCTGTTTGAAACGAATGCACAGTATCTTACTCCAGCTTCTAAAACTTTTAAACTGAAACCTCCTAAACCTTCAGGAACACCAGCTTCCATGCGTTTCTCACACTAGTAATAAAAATAGACCTCATGTCTTTCACTACAGTACAGAACACGGCCAACAGAGGGCGCCCGTCTTACCTGTTCCATCACCAGGCAGGGGAATAGCACCTATGGCCTTAGTGTCATCACCTTCATCACCATCATGACTATTATCATCCCTCATCATCATCATCATCACAATCATTACCATCATCACCATCATCATCATCATCATCATCACAATCAGCACTATCATCACCATCATCACATCACCATAAATACTATCATGATCATCATCACTATTATCACCCCTCATCATCATAACCACAGTCATTACTGTCATCATCATCATCACCATCATTATCATCACCATCATCATTACCATGACAATCATCACATCATCACCCTCATCACTATCACCATCATCATCATCATCATCACTACTATTATCACTATCATTACAATTATCAATGTTATCACTATCATCAACATAATCACTATAATCACCATCACCATAATTAACATAATCACTATTATCATCACCATCATCATCATAATCACTATTATTATCATTATAATTACCTTAATCATGTAGGGGAATAAGAACTATGGCCTTAGTGTCATCACCATAATCATCACCACCATCAACATAATCACTATTATCATCATCATTAAAAATGTTATCATTATCGTCATCATCATGATCATCATCATCATCATCATCACCACCACCACATCACTATTATCACCATCACTACCATCATCACCATCACATCACCACTATCTTCATCATCTTCACTATCATCACTATTATCATCACATCATTACAATTATCAACATTAACATCCTCAGTGTTATCACTGTCACCATTACAATCATCTCCTTCACCATCATCATCACTATCAATATTATCATCATCTTCATAATCATCCTCATCACCATCATCACCATCATCGAAATCAAGCCATCGTCAACATCACCATCATCACCATAACATGATTTTCATCACCATCATCACCAATACCGTCATCACTGTGATCTTAAATATCATCATCACCATCTATTTTTCTTAGAGCCAGTCACTGAATACAGTTCAGAGGACATTTTATTGCCCTAAAGGTATTAAAAACAGATTTATTCTTCAGTGGCTGCTCAGTTTCTCACATACAGAAAGAACCAGTCTAGCGGGTCCGGCTTAGTCCTGTACTATAAGGTTTCACCTGTATGTGTAATTACAGCAGAAAAGGAGCTGTTCTCATCCTGAAGACCTGCACTTGTAATAGAACAGCAGCACAGCCCCTTAAAGGGGAAACTCCACTGATTTTTCAAACTTTCTGCATAATTAAATGGTTAAGATGTAAACAGAGTCATTCAGAGTGGTTTGGTGTGAAACGCTCTGTTCTAGAAAAACGTCCGAGTCTGAATTGTTCACAGTGGTGGTGATAGGAACCAGACGTCCACCTCTGAAGGCTCCCTCACAGAAAGTTCCTACATGAAATGGTTAGGAATTCACTGCCTGATGACTGAGACACTGTTTATGATAGTTTTGAGAAGATTTTGATCTTAAACTCCATTCATGGTGGAGGGATACATAATATGCAGGGTGTTATGAGGCAAAATAATCCCCAAAGAAAACTTATTATTTCACTATTTTCCATCATCAACATTCCATATAAACTCAGAAGACTCGTGTAGGTTCACTGGTGGTTTTGATAGTAAATAAAATGTCTATATTTGTGTTGTAGTCATGGCGACGCCTGGTTCCTATCACCACCACTGTAAAGACATCTGAACCATTTCACACCAAACCACTCTGAGTCTCTCTGTGTACATCTCAAACACTCAATAATAATAATTACTTATTAACAATATTTATAACAATAATAGTAACAGTAATAGCATTATTAGTACTAACAATCACAAAATATATAATAATATTGTAATGAAATATTGTATCATGTTACAATGTAATGTTACAATGTAATGTTACACTTAAAAAACGGTTCTTCAAGGGTTCTTTAGTAAAGACAGAGACCCATATTCACAAAATCTTGTGAGTCATTGTAAATAAGACATGAATCTGATCCTAAATCAGCACTTCTATAAACGCTCAAAGAACCGTTTGCCTTAATTAATGGTTCTCTGCGTGGTGAAATGGTTCTTCAGATTGATGGAGAATGTGTTTTGTATGGTTCTATATACAAATGGTTCTGAAAATGGTTCTAAATAGCACCAAAAAGGGTTCTGCTGTTGTTACAATGTCTAGTTTATAGCAAGAACCCTTTTTGGTGCTATGTAGAACCATAAACATCACATTCTTCATCAATCTGAAGAACCGTTTCACCATGCAAAGAACCATTTAATGAAATTCATGCTGGAATACATTCCAAACAATAATGCATTGCCATACATATATTTTAAAATGTTACACATAGAAATGTACCATAAAAGTAAATGTATTTATGAAATACATTTGAAAACGTATGAAAATCCTAAAAAGGGCTCTTCTACTGTTATGATGTCAAGCTTGTATACAACAGCGGAACCCCTTTTAGTGCTATACAGATATACAACTGATTCTCCATATAAGTTGCTCTTGGTTCTATGTAGATCCATTGTCTTTACCCAAGAACCCTTGAAGAACCATCTTTTTTAAAGTGTGTCAAATCATTATTAGTTGAAAGGCTAAATCATTTAAAAATACTTTAAATGTCTGAGTTTAAACTGTTTGTAAGCTGTTAAACCTCACTGTTTCTCGATGGGCCGCTTTTGGTTTAATGCCCACATTGGCCGAAAACCACGCAGGCCGTTTTATTTCCCACCCGTTTTCCGCCCAGCCAGGCCTCCTCCGTTGGGATTGGCTAGTAATAGCCATCCCTGCGTTATGATTGGCTGACGGTTTCTCTGCCCTTTTGGGCTCGCATATCTAGTCTCCTATTGGTTGGGTGCTTCTGAGCATAAACTACGAGAGAAAGCGGGAGGGGCTTTGACGGAAAACAGGTGGGAAACAGGGAAGGAGGGACTTCCTGCTTTCCTTCAGGTCCGCTGTTGGATAGCAGGCGCAACTGCAGCTTTGGGTGACACGTAAACTAAAGGAGTAAAGTTGGTGAGCGCAGTTTAGGCCTCCGCACAGCAACAATGATCTCGAGATCCTTATTTCAGCGCAGAAAGTGACCCCAGAGGTGGACTCACGCGAGGAGCTTCGTGTTCTGAGCTTCTGCAGCTTTTGGGATCTTTTAAAAAGAGGTAAAGTCTGGTGAACCTTCCAAGCAGAAGAGAGACCAGGACTCTATGGGAGTCGTTTTCCACTTTTCTCCATCCCGGGAATGGACTTCTCATGCATGCAAGGGCTGATTTCCACCAAGTCTCTTCGAAAAGTCCTGGTTTTATGAGTGCAACGAGTTATTCTGACTACTTTAGAAGTCAGGAGGGAAAGTTGGGTGGAGGTTTTGCCAGCAGCAGCAGTCTGGGCCAGGCCACCATGGCCAACGGGGTTTGCTCCAGGAGGCAGAGGAAGATCCTGCAGTCGCTCCTGCTGCTCACCCTGGTCTGTGGAGGGCTGTACGGGGCTATGGTGGCTTATGAGACCCACAAGCAGCTGAAGAGGACCGAGGCCATGGCCCTGAAGTACCAGCAGCACCAGGAGGCTCTTTCAGCCCAGCTTCAAGGTGGGTCTGCTCTCATAATGCCGTGCTGGAATGCTAGAAAGCTCAGTTTCCAACTTTTAAGACTTGGAGAAAAGTTGGTTTTGCTTGTTTTTGGCCCATAAAAGGCGAGGCAGGTTTATTAATGGAGCACAATTAATACACAAAGGCAATTCAGTGTGTTTTGCATAAAAAATGCAAAGGCAACATCAAAAAGGAGGAATGAAGACAATGTGCTTAAGAATGAAAAACAATAAAAGATTAATACCTTAAGAAATGTGACTAAAAAAAAGTACAAAGTACAGAAAGTGGAATAAAAACATAAAATTGAATTAAAAAGGACTTATTAAAATTTGCTTTTTTAAGGTAAAATGACACAAGAAATGTTTTAAAATCACTACATTTGGGGTTCATGTAATCTGGCAGTTTGTTCCAGTTGTAGCAGCATAACAGCTAAATACTGCTTGTTTAGTTTGGACTCTGGGCTCGACTAGCTGACCTGAATCCATGGATCTAAGAGACCTGCTCGCTTTATATTCTTTAAACAGGTCAGAGATGCATTCTGGGCCAAAACCGTGCAGTGTTTATAGACTGGTATCTTCGGAAGGCAATGAGGTAGTTGTAATTTTCTGGATTGTTTTCTTGAGATAACAAGTTAACTATCTTTTGATAATGGTGTTGTTAAGATAATCAGTTAGCTATCTGGTGATTTCAAGATAAAAACGTTGTTAAGAAAAACAAATTTGTTGTCTCGAGATAACTATCTCGTCATCTGAAGGTAACAAATTTGTTATTTTGTTATAACAAGTTAATCATCTTGTGATTTCAAGATAACAAAGTTGTTATTTTATTTTAACAAGTTAACTATCCTGGGATGTTAAGATAACAAAGTTGTTATCTTGAGATAATAAGTTAACTATCTTGGGATTTCATGATAACAAAGTTGCTATCTTAATACAACAAGTTAACTATCTTGTGATCTCAAGATAACAGCATTGTTATAATCAGTTAGCTATCTGGTGATTTCAAGATAAAAAAGTTGTTATTTTGTTTTAACAAGTTAATCATCCTGTGATGTCAAAAAAAACAAAGTTGATATCTTGAGATAACGAGTTAACTCTCTTGTGATCTCAAGATAACAAAGTTGTTATATTAATATAACAAGTTAGCTATCTTGTGGTTTCAAGATAACAAAGTTGTTATTTTGTTTTAACAAGTTAATTATGCTGTGATGCCTAGATAACGAAGTTGTTATCTTGAGATAATAAGTTAACTATCTTGTGATTTCAAGATAACAACATTGTTATCTTAAGGTAACCAGTTAATGATCTTGTGATCTCAAGATAACTATCCAGAAAATTATAGCACCCCTCATGGCCTCTCTGGACTTCTGTAAGTAGCTCTTGAAACTGTGTTCTGTAACTGACTGGAAGCTGGTGTAGAGATTTCACAGCTGCAGTAATGAGCTCTGATCTGCTTCTAGTTAAAACTCTAACAGCAGCCAGAATGAGCTGCAGCTGTTTAATTGACTTTTTGAGACGTCCAGTTAAGAGACCATTACAGTCGTCCACCCTGCTGGAGATAAAAGCATGGATGAGCTGGGTCTCTTAGGGTCACCAGCCCTTGCCCCTGGCTGTATTTTAAAGATGGCTATACCTTTTAAGATGTAAAGGTCTTAGTTGTTGTGACATCGCATGAACACTGAATTCAAAACAGGAGGATCACAGAAAGCAGTAAAAACAATGCTGCTTCTTCAGGCTGGACATGATTAAACCAAATAACAGGAGCTGCTTTAGGCCTAAAGAGCCCATATACCACATAAAACGTAAACTACATTTTCCTGGCTTTTCTGAAATGAAAATAGTTTGCGTTTATATGTAAACATTGTTAAAGTTCAGTCCGTATATGCAAACTAAAAGAAGTCTGTTTTGAATAGAATGTTTAAGTGATGCCACAACAACCAAGACATTTTTATATAGGTATAGATATATATGGTTAGATAGATAGATCGATATGCAATGGACTGGCGACCTGTCCAGGATATGTCCTGCTTTCCGCCCAATGACCGCTGGGAACCCAGAAGGATAAGCGGCTTAGAAAAATAGAACACACACACACACACACACACACACACATATATATATATATATATATATATATATATATATATATATATATATGCTATCGGAGGAAAACCTCGTATCTCAGTTTTTGTTGTTTTTCAGTTTTTTGCATAATTTGAAAATACCTGTTGCTCTTTACATTGACTGTAAATTTCATGATGAACGGACCAAAAGAAACAGCCCAAAATGACTTGGTCTGGTTCCATTGACTTACATTAAAAGTAAAGTAGGTTTTTTCCTTCTAGTATATATAGTTAGTTACGATGCGCTTTGTTCTGAGCTCGTTCAGTTCAGCTAATTTAATTTCAACTTTATTTTAATTTTACCAGAACAGCATGATGAAAAGCAGCGCAATACAAAAAAGTGCAGGACAGAACAGTGTAGACACCACAGTGTGTCCAAAAGTTTGTAGACACCTGCTCATCCAGCAGTACTTCTGAAATTCTCAAAGTGTATCAAAGGGTAATTTCACCAATTAAAAAAATTCTTCAGAATTGAGTGTTTGAGATGTAAACAGAGTCATTCAGAGTGGTTTGGTGTGAAACGCTCCGTTCTAGAGAAACTTACCGAGTCAGAACTGTTCACAGAGGTGGTGATAGGAACCAGACGTCCACCTCTAAAAGCTCCCCCACAGAAAGTTCCTACATGAAATGGTTATGAATTCACTGCCTGATGACTGAGACACTGTTTTATGATAGTTTTGAGAACTTAAACTCCATTCATGGTGGAGGGATACATGCAGGGCGCTGTGAGGCAAAATAGTCCCCAAAGAAAACTTATTATTTCAGATTTTCCACTATTTTCCATCATCAACATTCCATATAAACTCAGAAGACTCGTGTAGGTTCACTGGTGGTTCTGGATAGTAAATAAAATGTCTATATTTGTGTTGTAGTCATGGCGACCCCTGGTTCCTATCACCACCACTGTAAAGACATCTGACCCATTTCACACCAAACCACTCTGAATCTCTCTGTGATAAATGAATAAATGAGATAATGGTGTAATACGCTGCCACCATCAAATCAGCAAATGATTGTTACTTGTTTTTATTCGTACACATTTAAGAAAAGATGGTTCTTCAGGGGTTCCTCAGTAAAGACAATGGTTCTATATAGAAACATTTAAAGAACAATCCTATATGCTTAAATGGCTCTTCAGATTGATGGAGAATGTAATGAATATGGTTCTGTATGTAAATGGTTCTATATAGCACCAAAAGGGGTTCTGCTATTGTTACAACGTCGAGCTTTTAACAATATAATAACCCTTTTTGGTGCTGTACAAGACCATATAGATCACGTTCTCCATCAGTCTAAAGAAACATTTCACCAGGCAAAGAATTATTTAAGCACTTGTGGTTCTATCCTCATGGTTCTAAACAGCACCATTGCCTTTACCAAAGAACCCTTTTAGGTGTGTATAGTCAGTTATTTCAGGATGAGGATGTGCTGTACTGTGTACGTGCTGTTTACAGTCTGTAGCGCTGTGGTAAACAATAAACTGTACTTTGTCCCTCTTATAAACTTTGTATTGAGTGGAATGAAAATGCTGAAGTTGAAGTTAAACATGTGATATCAACACCTCCAGGAAACACTGTCCTGTAAGAGTGAGCAGCATCTATACTTGAAAACGTTTTCACGTACAGTACTGTGCAAAAGTCTTAGGCACATAAACACATTGTATAAAACCATTTATTGTGGCAATAAGTATGTTTGTGGCAGTAAAAACACAAAATGTCATTCGAATAAATGTATGTATATATATATATCTGTCTGATACCTTTAGAAATGAATTTGTGTTCCAGTATCGTCATTTTAAATCTGATCTAATGATCCTTTAACAGGACAGAAGCGAGTGTTGTGGGTATTGATACTCTGTGAAAATCTATATATAAAATATATCGTGTGTGAGAGTCTGACTGCAGACGTACATGATTAATGTAAAGTCAGTACCGTTCATTCAGTTGTATATTTAGTATATATAGTATATTTAGTCATATCTGTAGCCTTTGTTAAAACTACATACATTTGAAAAAATATAATAACAAATACAAGAAATTGATTTAAAAAATATATGTAACAGATGCATTTTTGGTCATTTTCATACATTGCATAAATATATGTGATAAATACATTTGGAATATATATATATATATATATATATATATATATATCATAATAATTAAATTATGCAGAAATTTCAAAAACAAATGGTGGAATTGCCCTTTAAAGTAGTCAGATAGTGGAGGCGGTGGTGGAGTTTTTATATTGACCAAAGCTGTAACGCTGCATAATAATATTCTAAACATAATGATAAACCTTCAGCCTCTGGGTTGTTGAGGAATAGAGATGTTGAGAAATGTAAATGAACCTGGTTAGTTAGTTATTGATGAATGTGTTTTATTTACTCTCCAGAAAAAGCCAAAACTGAAAGCGAGGCATTGAAAATCGAGTCGCGTCTAAATTTGGCTTCAGGGAAGTGGATTTTAATTAGGAGAAGAATGTCAGTTCTCCGCTCCCACATCTAAGCAGGTCACCTGATCCTGGGTGATGGAATTTGGCCAGACTTAAGAGCCGTGCTGTTAATGTCTGTCATCGGGCATTGTTTAATTTTAGTTTTTAACTTTAATGCTTTATTCCAGTCATGCTGATCAGAACTTTGTGACCTTCCTGCTGGGGCCAAATGACGAATCGTGTTAGTTTCCTGCTCTGGCTTCTGAAACGCTGTGCCTCTTTGCATTTTGGTTTACATGTCTGCTGACCTCACTGTTCTTATCTATTTAAATGTTGCCATGTGCTCAGATGGGAAATGGTGTGAAACTAGGGCCTGTTTTTGTGATATTACGTCACAGTTTGTCATAACACACATTTCTAAGCATATTTTGAATATCACTTCTCA